GCGATCACAGTGGTGCCTATATTAACCTTCCTTTTTTTTTTTTGTTTTTTTTTTTTAACAAGTCCTGTGGACTGACCATGGGTAGGTGCCAAAGAAAGAAGAATCCCAAATATGAAAATTACTATTCATCGATCATTCAACACTTTCCCCACCGCAATTATCATGTTTTGCAGAGGTGCTCAATACAACATCTAGAAGCATAAACATATAAAGATACACAAGATACTTCAAATCAATTTGATATCTTAAAATATACCTATGGACTTTATTTGTGGCTAATGGTGGTCCAGTGCTAACGCCATGGTCCCATGAGTTTTAGACTCTCTGATCAGGTTATCCCCCGGTATGTTTATATTCTTGTTGATCTAAATATGTAAGTAACATAATAAATTGGAATAAATTGATAATCTTAAAACATGAAATTAACCAAGTGGTTCTAGTGTTTGTAATAAATGCTGTATAACAAATAGTCTATTCCCAAAAGTTCTGTTGTAGAATTCTCATGACCCTACTGCTTTATTCAGTAATTGGAATGATTAGTATGAGCTAGAGTGACAAGTAAACTTAACATTTGGTAATTAGTATAGAAAAATGAGAGTTTTGCGGGTACAGTAGTTGTATTGAATTAGTATGCAGTATTGAGTTATAGTATTGTAAATATGTCATGGTAGAGGGATAATTCGAGGCTATAGCGTAGTTCATTTTGGTAAGTTAAGTGTGTGTGTGTGCAAGTATAGATTGAGATGCTTAGTGCTTCTTTTTTATTATAATAATAATAGATTGAGACAAGGGTCCTGTTGAGTTTATCCTGTTTGAAATAGAGAGTATTGAGGCTTATTTCCAGCTGTCTCTTCTTGAAATAACTGTCATGGCCTCAAGTGTGTTCAGATGCAGGGAAGTTGAAGCCAATGTAAAATGTGGGCCTGGTAAGGAAGGTGGAGTAGAGGGTAGAGATATTGGTGGCTTCCAAAGGAAGAGGGCTGTGAGAGGCTAGTTGGCTCAACTAATAAAGGAACCTGCAAAGGTGGGATTGACTTTTATCTGGAGAAGCTAAAAGACATGCAATAGATGTAGAGAAGGTGGAAATTTTAGGTGGTTGGTTAGAGTATGTAGTTTGTGAAGTGATGGTTATGTTGTTGCAAGGTATGAAAGCAGAACATTTTGGATGTCCGTTGGGTTGTGGTGCAAGTACATACTAATTGGACTGATAGAGAGGATTAAGTAGGTTGTAAGAGCAGTTGAGTGATTGATGAGGAGGTGGGAACATCAGTGTTGAGAACTGTGGAGAGAGTTGCACACTAATGGGCAACCTTGGAATGGAAGATGAACGGTATTCTCCCCTGCAGGCAGATTTAGGTTATGGTCTAGTAATGACAGAAACCATCTCTTATAAATTCTTTATTTCACTTTTCAGGGGAAAGAGAGGCACCAATGAGACTATAGGGAATTTGCATCTCTGTGATGAAGGCAGGAAGGACAGTGGTTACAAATTAGGTTATTCTGCCTGTGATCTTTAATATTTTACTGGGTGGCCATAGCAGCATTGTTGTGATGTTGGTTTGAATTCCCTCATTAGCAGGTATTGACATAAGTATTACTGAGGAGGAGAAGGGGAGGGAAGTTCATGGTTATATAATGTTGGTTCAACTATTCAGGTTGATTTTCTCTGTGGGAATGACAAGCATAAGTTTCAACCCTAGTGGTTGGAAGGTTTTGTTAATTCTTAGTTTTTGTATGTCTGAAGCACAATCTGCAATGTCTTGTTGTATGACTGTGTGATGGATAACTGTTCCACTTCATGAGATTAGGAGGGTAAAGTGAGTGTACAGTCAGTGGTGTGGAGCTCCATTAGTTTACTGGGCTGGTCAGCATCATTTACTCTGATATGCATCACATTTATTAGGTGAAACTAGATGTCTTGGTTGTTACACATCAAGAGTTCTTGTGAGTGTATGTGGTTATTCTGGTATGATTTGGGATTCATTACAGTGAAAAAAAGTCTAGAGGTATAGCATAGCCAACAAGTAGTAAAATGATAGAGCAAAAGGAAAATTACTTAAAAAACAAAAATATAGCATTTCACCTACACAAGGGTCATGTAAGCGAAATGTAAGGAAAGTCTTCTGAAGCTGAAGATTTTTTTGTGAGAGGCTTTAAGTGGTGTGTGATCAAGGTGTGTATGTTCTGTGCCAGCATTGTCATTTGTCTTGCTTTGATTCTTGGCAGATGGCTTTGAGCCACTCTGTCAACTGGGGCAAGGATGATTCATGAATCGTTGAGGCAGGGGGAAGCCAGTTCCATGGTTGAGGTAGTAAGTCTGTGGTACTTCCGGAGGATAGGCAGAATGTCAGTAGTGGGTTTGGACAACGTAAGATTGCTCGAAAGTAGTTGTGGGTTCTGAAAAATCCATGGCCATGCAGGGATTGGTAGAGATGTCACTATCACTTGGGATAGCGGGTACTTAGGTTGTCTCATTTATCATAAAACAAAGAAAGGGATCATCCAGAAATACATAAAAAGAAATCATATGCCCACCTTAAAATGCCTCGTACCCTACCTGGTGCAATACACAAGATTGTACCTCCTTAATAAACTATGCACGATTGCGGTAACTAGTGATATGGTTCTCAGACAAATAGAGAAATTAAAACCTAACAAATCCCCAGGGCCTGATGAACTGTTTGCAAGGGTGTTAAAGGAATGTAAAGAGGAACTTAGCATACCTTTGGCTAATCTTTTCAACATATCACTACAAACTAGCATGGTGCCTGATAAATGGAAAAAGGCGAATGTAATACCTATTTACAAGGCAGTTGACAGGTCCTTAACTTCGAACTATAGACCAATAATCCTTACCTCCATATTGGGAAAATTTATGAAATCAATAATTGCCGAAGCAATTCGTAGCCATCTCGAAAGGCATAAATTGATTAAATAAAAAAAAAAGGCACAATACCGTGACTGGAACGATACACAAATAACCCGCACATAAAAGAGAGAAGCTTACGACGACGTTTCGGTCCGACTTGGACCATTGTGACTTTGTCAATGGTCCAAGTCGGACCGAAACGTCGTTGTAAGCTTCTCTCTTTTATGTGCGGGTTATTTGTGTATAATTGATTAATGAATCTCAGCACGGTTTTACAAAGGGGCTTTCCTGTCTAACGAATTTACTAACATTCTTCATTAAGGAGGTAGATCATGGTATTGAATACGATATTGTGTGTATAGACTTCACTAAGGCTTTCGACAGAGTTCCACATCAGAAGCTATTGAGGAAACTTAACGCACACGGAATAGGGGAAATTTTTTCCTGGGTTGAGGCATGGTTGACGAATAGGCAGCAGAGAAATGGGGAGAAATCAGAATGGGGGCACGTCACAAGCGGTGTTTCACAGGGGTCAGTGCTGGGCCCCATGTTATTCACAATTTACATAAACGACATAGACGAGGGAATAAATAGCGACTTAAGCAAATTTGCTGATGACACCAAAATAGGCCGTCCATTTCATTCTAATGAGGACATTAGAGCACTCCAGGATGATTTGAATAGAGTGATGCAGTGGTCGGAGAAGTGGCAGATGCAGTTTAATATAGACAAATGCAAAGTTCTAAATGTTGGACAGGAAAATAACCGTGCCACACAAACTAAATAATGTGGATCTTAATATTACGGATTGCGAAAAGGATTTAGGAGTTCTGGTTAGCAGTCTGTATAGTCCTTGTGGCTTAGTGCTTCTTTTTTATTATAATAATAATCTGGTTAGCAGTAATCTAAAACCAAGACAACAGTGCATTAATGTTCACAATAAAGCTAAGAGAATCTTTGGCTTCCTAGCAAGAAGTATAAATAATAGAAGTCCTCAGGTTGTTCTTCAACTCTGTATATCTTTGGTCAGGCCTCATTTAGATTATGCTGCACAGTTATGGTCACCGTATTACAGAACGGATATAAATGCACTGGAAAACGTACAGAGGAGGATGACAAAGTTGATCCCATGTATCAGAAATCTTCCCAATGAGGATAGACTGAGGGCTCTGAATTTGCACTCTATAGAAACGTGTAGAATTAGGGATGATATGATTGAGGTGCGCTTCTTTTTTATTATAATAATAATATGATTGAGGTGTATAAATGGAAAACAGGAATTAATAAAGGGGATGTAAATAGCATGCTAAAAATATCTAACATAGACAGGACTCGCAGCAATGGCTTTAAATTGGAAAAATTCAGATTCAGGAAGGATATAGGAAAGCACTGGTTTGGTAATAGAGTTGTGGATGAGTGGAACAAACTCCCGAGTACCGTCATAGACGTTAAGACGTTGTGTAGTTTTAAAAATAGGTTGGATAAATACATGAGTGGGTGTGGGTTGGACCTGACTAGCTTGTGCTGCTAGGTTGCATGCAGTGCTCCTTCCTTAAGTGCCATGTCTGACCTCACTAGGTCAAGGCATTGGCTTAAGCCGGTGGGAGAATTGGACCTGCCTCGCATAGGCCAGTAGGCCTGTTGCAGTGTTCCTTCTTTCTTATGTTCTTATAATTGACTGAGCTAGGTTAGCAAAACTTTTTTTTTTAGGCAACAATTGTGCAATTGTCTAGTTGATAATGGCAGTGGGATAAACCTGAATAGACACCAGGAGTTATACACCTTTAATTGTCATTCCTGAATCTGCAGGCAACCTCTGGTGATACTGTGGGCCTGCCAGATGGTCACCTGACATGCCCTAAGAGGATCTAATTTCCATAGTCTAGTGACACAACTATCACAGTGCTACCAACAGAAGCTACATTAAAACAGGTCTTAAAGTAATCTGTTCTCCCTGGATTTCATAAAAGGGGAAATTTCCCCACTGTAGGTCAGATTGAGAGAGCGAGGGTTGGGGTATTTTGATACAGGAATGAGACGAGGTCCATTTCCTAGGATAAAGATCTTTGCCACATCAAGGGACTCCCCCCTTAATTAAGGGTATGACTCAGTGAAAAAAACAGACTTTACAACATTGGATTTATTTCATAACATATTTCTGCTACAGATCACTTAACATGTAGGTACACAAATTTTCTCATTATAGGGTCACTCCTGGGCCTAGCAAAACTAATAAAAATATCACGGCAAATCAAAGGAGCATCAAAACATCTTAATGCCACTTTGTTACATGTGAGAGGAGGATGGCAAAGAGCTAAAGAAAGGGCAGAAAAGGTGATGAAGTCTATACCCTATTCTGGAGATGCTTGGGAGGAAACTCGTTCACATGTCCTCAACAATGCATACTCCTACATAATCTACAAAACAATTTCACTGCATATTTTTTTTTATTTGTAACATTATGGAATCTTTTTTATAATTTAGTATTAATCAACAACGATGGTCTGCTTACTTAACCTAAAAAAGTAAAGTTATCCTTACATTGTCACTCGGTAAGAAAACACCATTTTGTACCTCTTGTTGATAGGCTTCGTGGAATACAGCAGTTGCAACTTGTTTGTGAAGTAATTTTATAATGTATCCCACTAACAGTTAATTTTTCAAAGTATTGCTAGTTCTTTCCATTTACGTATAGATGTTCATTGTATAATGAACGTGCACTAAGCATTGTTTATACCGTACTGTAGCTGAATTTGTTTGCAGTACTTCAGACAATAACAAGTTTATTTTCATTTTCTATGAGGTATATTGTTACTATACAGTACTTCAGCACTCACAGAGAGGTATTCCCTCAGGGAAGATGCCTTGATGCCAGTAAGGGGATTTTTGATCCCAGAAACTGAACTTATCCTCTACTTCCTGAGATTGAATCTGAATGCCTCCATTTCCCAGGAGGTATAAAGTTCCTACAGGTTTAGTGTGTGTCTAATTAAACTACATATGTATATTTGCTTTTGCAATGCATATTATTGCATTTATGGGGCAAGTACTAAACCTGCATGGGTCATGCAGGACCAGCAGAATGCGAGGAAATCGGATTCCATCAAAGGAAAGAGAGGATTTTTCCATTTGTTTGGATTAAGAGTCATTCACCGGCATCAAAGCACCTTCCGAGAATGGACTGTGTGTGTAATTTTGCATTGTGATATTCATAAATATTGCACATCTGTTCATCAGAAAAAAATCTTATCTACAGTTGAGTAAAAGGGGTTGGGGGGGGTGAGGATCTGCCTAGGGAACAAATGTTGTTCCAGTTTGCCTCTTGCTGGCTGCTTCACCTGTACTAGGCATCTTACATATCACTCCTGCACTACCAAAGTCACCTGAGTGTGGTAAAACTCAGATGCAATAACTAGGGAGTTTATGGATCATCCCTATATGGCTGAAAAAGTGAAGGGGTGGAGTTTGTCTTGTGCGTTGGTGACGCTCGCCCTAGAGAACCCCCAGAGATATTGTGAGGGGTGCTTGGTATGGGGTTATTAATGGTCGTGGTGGTGGTGGTGGTAGGTAAAGAAGTGGTAATGGATACAGGGTCGAGGTTGGGGGTTAGTGTGTGTGACAGGGGGAGCGTTGGGTACAGTAGACCACACACGCAAGAATCTCCTCCCACTTTAGTAGAGTCCCGCAGTGGACATGTTGTAAGGTGACCACCCACTAGTGGACGTGGTGACACTGGTGTCGGTGTTAAAGGAGAGGGAGGAAGGGCTGTAGGCATCTCGTGTGGGCGCAGTTCTCCAGGTCTGAGGTAGGGTGAAGTAAGCAGTCCTGGGTGAGGGCGAGGGTATGGGGCAAAGCGGGTCAGTCCTGGTGTGTGCGAAGGTACACTGTAACCAAGAGGTGGAGCTCCCCCAACTTGGGCAGCTGCTGCTGCAGCAGCTGCTGCCCATGGAGAGGCGGTAGTGAGGGAGGGCGGGAGGTATGGTGGGTAGGCACCCGTGGCAGCAGCAGCATGCAATAAATAGGCAGCCAATGCAGGGTCCGCATAGGGCCATGCCAAGGCCAAACGCTGACGCTTATCCTTCATCCGACGATTCTGGAACCATACCTGAAAGTGATAACATTTAATATACTTTATTGCTGAAGCATCCTTGTATACAGTATTTATAAACCCTAAATCTGACTCATTCAGATGAAGAAATAACCTTGCAACTGACTGGTGCAGTGGTGTGTCTAATGTTATTAAAAAAAAAAAAACTTATTCTTCATTCCTTTAAACTGTTGTCGCCGAATTATCAAACATTTCAGCACAGATCTACTTCTTTAGCACTCTTCACCCTCGCCCTTCCTAACTACCTCAGTTGTACTCTTCACCCTCGCTGATCTTCACCCTCGCTGATCTTCACCCTCGCTGATCGCTGATCACCCATATTACGCATTTTAGTACACCCCCACCCTTCAGCGCTGTATGACCCTTACGGGTTTAGTGCTTGCTTATGGTTATAATATAATAATTCAGCACAAACGTCTTCTGCTCCCTCAAGGAAGGTTCCTTGATGTTGGTGAGGGGCTCTTGATTTAGGGAATTGGATCTGTGCTCCACTTCCCCGAATTAAGCCTGAATGCCTTCCACATTCCCCCCCCCCCCCCGGCGCTGTATAATCCTCCGGGTTTAGCGCTTCCCCCTTGATTATAATAATAATAATAATAATCGCTCACCGTCAAGTCAGATGTAGTTTTCACTCCAATCATACCTATATAATTTTTATCAGAAAGCTGAACGAGTTAATACACAAATACAAGATACACAAAGTATTTATCCTATATACTCTACATTGTCATTCATTCTTTCTACATCCTTCAATGGGCGTTTCCTTCATGCTGGTGAAGGGCTCTTGATCCAAGGAATTTGAGCTATTCTCCTATTTCTTGAGTGCTGTATAGCCCTTGTGGCTTAGCGCTTCTTTTTGATTATAATAATAATAATAATAATAATAATCCTATTTCTTGAGTCAAAACTACCTCCCATTCCCCAGAAACTATGACTCCTGTGGGTTTAGTGCTTCCTCATTATTAGAATAGTAATAAATCTGGCATGAAGTACTGTAAAACATCTGCACGTGTCAGGACGTGTTTCCTGACACGGGTCTTAGTCATGATGCTCAACCGCTAGAGCTTTTGGTCATCTAACCGAGGCCTTCCGCTGGCTTACCAGTCCACCCCTTTAAAAATTATGGTTTTGATTATAACCATTTCATTATCTGCACACGGGTGCTCAGCAGTATGTATACACAAACATATGGTTGCTGGGATCGAGTCTCAGCTTCTGATCCCGCCTCTACTGGTCTCTACTAGGTTCACTCCTACATTTGACAGCCTTATCATACTTCCTCCTAAGGCTATGTATGGATCCTGCCTTCTACGACATTCCGTCAGTTTCCTGACTAAGGCAAGAAATACTTCCTAACATTCTTATTACTCTGTGTTTTCAACTTCCAGTTTTGTCCTCGTGTTTCTGTTGTCCCCTCTCAAACAATCTGCCCTATCAATTCCCCCCTTATTATTTTTGTAAAGTGTCATATCATCCCTAGTCCTTCTTTCATCTAGTTTCATCAGGTTGAGTTCCCTCAACCTTTCCTCTGGGACTATTCTTGTTGCAAGCCTCTGCACTTTCTTCGATTTGACATATTTGACTGGTGAGAGTTCTGTATTGGTGCTGCATACTCCAACGTGGGCCTGACGTACACCATATACAGTGTCATGAATGGCTCTTCAGATTTCCGAAAGCTAGTCTTTTAAAGAACAAAAGGACAGATGTGTATTGAGCTAATTTTATATTTGCCAGACATACATTTTCTGAAGCAGTTATTCGGTTAATGTGTACCTCAGGCTACATGATCGGCACAACTCACCCCAAGGTCGTCCTCCTTGAATGAGGTTTGCAGCCTTTGTTTCCCAAGCCTTTCTCGGTCTGTGGTCTTCTTGCCCTTCCCCAAACTTTATAACTTTGCACTTACTGGGGTTAAATTCCAGTAGCAGCTTGTTAGACCAGGCCTGCAGCCTGTTTAGATCCATTTGTAGGAGTTTCTGGTCCTCATCTGTTTGTATTCTTCTCATTAGCTTTACATCTGCAAACCGAGATATTTCTGGCTCTATTCCTTCCATCGTTTCATTCATGTATACAAGAAATAGTACCAGTCATAGTACTGATCTTTGTGGAACTCCACTCATCACATGCATTCATTCTGACACCTTCTTGGACAATGGTTGTTTCATTCCTGTTAGGTATGCACTGATTTATTTTAGTACCTTTCCTGTTATTTTTGGCTGCCCCTCTAGCTTTAGCTTTTTTCCCAGTATGTTATGTGGTATTGTTTCAAAACCTAGCTTAGCGCTAGGTTTTGATTATAATAATAATCAAAAACCTTCCTACAACTCAGGAAAATGCAATCTATCCATCCCTCTCCTACCTTTACTTCTGTTCGACTTTTTCGTAGAATTACAGTAGGTTTGTGAGGCAATATATACCATCTCTAAAGCTGTGCAGTCTGTCATATTCGAAACCGCTCCTTTCTGGGTGCTCCATTACTCTTCCTGATAATCTTCTCCATAACCTTACTATAAACCTGTGCGTCTGCATGGGTGGATCTCTACAGGTGCGTCTTCGTGAGTGAATTTGCATGGATGCATCTTCACAACGGTGGTAATCACTAGTCCCTACAGGTTTAGCGCATTCCTATGAATTCATTGCTATTACAAATTCATTTGCTGTTATAAAGATACTTGGATCAAATCAACTGGTTGTAGCCTCCCCTTCCTTGGGCCAAACCGAATTATCTACTCCACAGGACCACAACAATGCCACTTTCACATCTGCGAGGAAACTGATAGGATGGATAATGAGAACATTCAAGACAAGAGATACTAAGCCATTGATGATCCTTTTTAAATCACTTGTTCTCTCTAGGCTGGAATACTGCTGTGCATTTACATCCCTATTCAAGGCAGGTGAAATTGCAGATCTAGAGAATGTACAGAGAACCTTTACTGCACGTATAAGTTCCATCAAACACCCTTAACTACTGGGAACGCATGGAAGCACTTGACTTGTACTCACTGGAGCGCAGGCGAAGATTCTGGAGAGACTGGTCCCTAATATGCACACAGAAATCACTCCATACGAAAGCAAAAGACTTGTCAGGCGTTGCAACATACCCCCAATGAAAAGTAGGGGCGTCACTGGTACACTAAGAGAAAACAGCATAAGTGTCCGGGGCCCAAGACTGTTCAACAGCCTCCCACCAGCAATAAGGAGCATTACCAGTAGACCCCTAGTTGTCTTCAAGAGGGAGCTGAACAGATACCTACAGTCGGTGCCGGATCAGCAGGGCTGTGGTTCGTACGTTGGATTGCGTGCGGCCAGCAGTAACAGCCTCGTTGATCAGGCCCTGATCCACCGGGAAGCCTGGTCATGGACCGGGCCGCGGGGGCGTTGGTACCCGGAATACCCTCAAGGTAGACTTCAGGTAGGTAGACCCCTAGGAAGTTTAGCGCTTCTCCAAGACTATAAAGCGAATGCAACTTTACAGTTTGCACTCGGTTTCGGACTGGCATGGAGTGTGTTGGTGCTAGATTCCAAGTGTTATTGGTATATTGCAAGTGTGGGAGTAGTGGCTGCAGTGGTCATAGCTGCAGATATACAGCCATGTGGGTTCACTGGGTCAAGAAGGTAGATGTTGGAGTGTTTCTTCAGTCAGTCACCTCAAAAGAGGAGCCGTGAAATCAACCGAGTCAAGGAATTAGGCTTGGCTCAGCCTTGAATTGAACCTGATTGGCTGCCATTCCCCAAACACTGAATAACCCCCTACAGTTTTAACTCTTTTCTCTCTCTCCCTAAACTGTAGGACCCTGGTGGGTTTAATGGTTAGTTTTGATTATAATAATAATTCCCCTCTCTAAATATCAAATAAATAGATTTTATTTATTTATTATTATTATTATTATTATTATTATTATTATTATTATTATTATTATTATTATTATTATTATTATTATTATTATTAATCCCACCGTTGACACAGACTCCTTCCTTGCCCTTTTGTCAGCTACAGCTTTATTACACCAACTGTGATTATATTTTCCGTTTAGTGCTCCCCACTACCCTTACTGACTCTGCCTCGCTGCTCTTGGTTCTTCACATATTTCATCTTCAGGAAATCCTGCCCAGCAGCGCTGAATGACCCTTGTGAGTCTAGCGCTTAGTTTTTACTGTAAATACTACTGCTACTATTGCTACTACTGCTACTACTGCTACTACTACTGCTACTACTACTGCTACTACTGCTGCTACTGCTGCTACTACTGCTACTACTGCTACTACTACTACTACTACTGCTGCTACTGCTGCTATTACTACGACTACTACTACTGTGGTTTAGCGCTTCTTTTTTATTATAATAATAATATTAATAAAATATACTTGCAGTCACTGGAATGTGTCTGGAGATGCAAAACCATGTGGGTATATTATCTATCAGGCACTGCAGCTGGGACAGTTTTCTCGAATACAGCCTTAATTAGTGGAACACTATAGCTGACGATGCACAACTGCAGTTTGGCCTGGGGCCAGACTTGTCTGTTGCTCGCCTGGTCAGCTAGACTGCTGCTGTTGGCAACCTGTTGGCCCTCATGACACAGCCTAGTGGTTCTTGCACTTGGCAGAGGTAGTGGTCCAGTTTCTTCAAGACATCTACACTTTTGGCAATATTTCTCATATCGACTGGTAGCAAGTTAAGTAGTCATGGTCCATGGATCTCTATAGTGTTCTCTTATTGTGCCCATGGTGCACCTGTTTTTCACTGGATTTATTTTGCACTCCCACTATCTCTCCGGTATGCAGTATGGTGTTACTGCAGTGTCATCTCAAGGAAGGTTCCTTGATGTATGTGAGGGGCTCTTGATCTTGGATCAAACCTGAATGCCTCCCATTTCTTCTCCAGGTGCTGTATGACCCATACGGCTTCAGCTCTTCCCCATGAATGTACTACTGTTACTGCAGTGTGTAGGTTAGAGAATAGGTCCTCAAGTACCTTCGACGTATGTATCTTGTATCTCTCCACTCCCGAGAGTACATATTCAGTTCTTTGAGACATTCCCGGCAATTTAAATGTTTTATTAGGTCTATGTAGATAGTAAACGATCTCTGTCTTTCAGCTATCTCTCCTGTCTTGAATGGAGTCAATAACACTGAGCAGTACTCTATGCGAAAGAGCACAAGTGATATGAAAAGAGTCACCAGTAATATTATTTACCTTGTTTTGAAAGTTTTCATTATCCACCATGTCATTTTCCCGGCTTTCACAACATCCACCTTATTGTGTTCTCTAAAGGATAAGTCAGCTGATATTATTACACCTAATTCCTTTTATTTCGTTCCTTTAGGTAGCCCTCCTGCGTGTTGTACATAGTGCCTGTTCTGAGCTTTTAATTCTTACATATGAGCAGTTGGAATTTGTCACCATCGAACATTTTATTCCATACTGCCAGTGGAAGATTTTGTTTATATCATGTTGTGGATTTTCCGTAAATGATAGGAAGCTGTGGTTAGTGTCTTTTTTTTCTATCTTTGCTATGAGGACGAGAAACAATGAAGGCTTTGGGGTACTGAGATTTTTGCTTTGCTAAGAATGGATTTTATTTACCACCACTCTCTGCATTCTATCCACCCAGAAATAGAATATACTTTTGCCTACTTTTCCCCATTATACCTTTTGACCTCATTTTGTCAAGTACTTTGGCAAAAATCTTTGTAGATCACATCTGCATTCTGGTTCTATTTCAACGCCTCGGTGATTTTGTAATGTTTTTTAGCAGTTGTGGTAAACATGATCTTCCCGTTGCAAATTAAAGTTGATTCGGGTTGTTCAGGTTATGTTTCATCACCCGGTAGCAATAACATCACACGTAATGAAAATGTTTCAAATATTTTTAAGATATGTGATGTTATTGCTACTGATCTAATTTTTTGCCACCGTTCTACTTCCTCCTTTGGACAGAGGAAGTATGTCTGTACTTAACAAGGGCTCTGGAATTTCACCTAGATACGGAATGCTCAGGCTAGCGGTATTTTGCACTTCTTAATAAATGAGGAAACTCATGAATCTGGCCCAGGTGTTGTGTGTGGGGGCATGTTTTCAACGAATTCTTTAGGGGTCAGTGCTTATGTCAGATGCTGCATATGATTTGTAGGGCAAGCAGAAGTAATGAGAAATTCTGTATTTTCCACTCTTGTTTAGAGGATTGTTCAACATTGAGTCACAATGGTCTTTTAAATTTTCACTCATTTCTCTTTCGTCGTCAGCATATGAAGGTCCTGTAAGCAATAGGCCGATTCTAGTGGCGGTTCCTGACTTAATTTCGCGCATGTGTAGAAAGCTTCAGGATTTGTTGCATTCTTCTGGACGGCTTTTTGTTCCTTTTACGTTTTAGTCTGGTATGAATGCTTAACTTCCTGCTCTGTATCGGTAATCTCTCGGGATTATTATCGTTACATTGTAACATTCTCGTTTCTAAGTAAGCCAGTAACCTATTTTCTTCTGTACATTCTTATATATATATATATATATATATATATATATATATATATATATATATATATATATATATATATATATATATATATATATATATATTTACACATCAGTTTACAGGCTAAGAGTTATCCTACCTCATCTCATTTTAAAACCCAGCCCTGTCTAAAGTATACTACCTCACGTCCCCCCTTCCCCCAGGATGTGACTCCCAGCAGTCCACTAACATCCAGGTACATACTTACTGTTAGGCAAACAGGGGCTGCCGGTATAAGAAAATATGCCTAACATGCCTACTCGTACCGGGGATCGAACCACGGACACTCGGTATGTGAGCTGAGTGTAATATCACCTGCGTTTTCAGCGGTACATATTTCATACAATATTTAAGGACCCCAATGGAAATAAATAAGGACCCCAATGGAAATAAGTCACTCTGTCTGACTTTTTTGGGTTATCCCAGGTTCTCTACACATATGCTGCTATGTATGATAATTCTATGTAACTGTATTTGTGTATACCTGAATGAACTTACTTACTTACTTACTTGTTTCTGTATTCAACTTTTTCATGCACTGATGTGGGTTTAGAGTATCCAGAGCTACTCAGGGCTGCTCAGGGCTGTTTCTCAGGCAATGTTTGAAGGTTCATTATTGTATCACAGTCAATTCTCTAACAGTTGAAGTCAAGTTGAATTACTACTGTTCATGTGATAATTTCTGAGTGTAATATCTGATTAGTTTCAGCACTTCCAAGCTAATAACTTAATAATGCAACTTCTGAGCTGATTCAAGCTTAATGTTCGAATGTTCCTTCTCGGTGACTCTTTCTGGATTTTTATGTGCTGAATATATACTAATTTGTATTACAGTGAGGCTATGATCAGAGTATTGTTATGGCCAGATGGCCTGCTAGTGGGCCCCGCTTTCTGGGACGCCATCTTCAACCACTGCACCTCACGTCTGGTCCAGTATATATAGCTCCATCAATGTACCTGTACTTCAGAGTGGTCAGTTCTACGTACTGAGGGATTGAACATCTAAAATTTTTTTCAGATATCTCCAGTATATTAGACACCTCTATATTAGACTGAAGAAGCCTGCTGCGCAGGTGAAGGGTTTCAGACACAGATATGAAATTGTTGCAGGTGTGTGTTATTCATCAAGGTTTAAATTTAATGATTTTGTAATAATGCTCCTCATTATTGTAGAATCCTTCCCCAGGCAATAATGCTGAGGTTTCTTTACAAAGACGACATATTTAACAATGTTTTTGAGATTTATATCTAGGGAAAGTGCTAAACTCTTAAAAAATCTAGGGTCTTGAAGGTACCTTTAAGGTCTCTAGATCTGCTTAGGAACTGTTAGCATGCTAAGATTATTATCATTAAACCTTAGTCACTGACCTTGATGGTAGACTCTGGTAGATTCAGCTCCTGGGCCAGCTCACAGCGTCGCGGTCGGCTCACGTAGTTTTCCTTATAGAACTCCTTCTCCAGGCGACCGATCTGTTCTCTGGTGAAGGCTGTGCGGTACCTCCTTATCTCCGCTGCTGACTGGCTCGTCGGAGGCTGTTGCGAGGCTTGTTGCTGTTGTTGCTGTTGCTGCTGCTGTTGCTGCTGCGTCGTCGGCTGTAACGCCGCTCCTGTACCCTGTACAACGGGGCTGTGTACTTTTTTAATTAACTCTTCGTCGACACCTAAAATGAAAAATAAAAGGATTTTATCAATATAATCAATATAACTAAAACTTACACTGTTACAAGATAATAATTATGTCTGACTTATTTTCTGGTCATGGACGCCAAAAAAATTATTGTCAAGGGAAAGGATGGTAGAGACACTTTCGTAGATGATATTAAAATAAGCCTGAAAGTCACCTTGGTACAAGACACTGAATAAAACTGCAAGAAGATATAAGTAACGTTTTCCATTGGGCAGTGGAGAACAATATGACGTTCAGTAGTGAAAAGTTTCAGCTGCTGAGATGTGAAAAGAATGAAAAACTCCTGAGTGACACCTTATACAAAATTCAAGAAGAACATCAGCTAAAACAAAAGGAACACGTGAAAGACCTGGGAGTAATTATGTCGGTTGACCATTCTGTCATGGACCTCACTGCATGACCCTAGTAGGTTTAGCGGTTCCTTTTGATAATAATAATAATAATAATAATAATAAAATAATAATAATAATAATAATAATATAATAATAATAATAATAATGTCAAGGACCACAATAAAACAAATGTCATGACAGTCAGGAAAATGACAGAGTGGATAATGAGAACTTTTAAAACAAGGGAAATAGTATCAATAGTGACACTTTTCAAATCGCTTATGTTCTCTTGTTTAAAATATTGTTAACTATTGACGGCCCAGTTCAGGACAGGAGAGATAATCGGAGCTGGAACAGATTACGACCCCCCACAGAACCAATAAACGATTCAAATTACTGGGAACGCCTTAAATCTTTAAATATGTACTCACCGGAGTGAAAAAAGAGAGAGAGAGAGAGATACATGATAATATATACCTGGAAAGTACTTGAAGGATTTTTCCCAAATTTGAACACTGTCCATAACAACATACTGGAGCGAGAAACATGGGAGGAAGTGCAAGATAAATTCAGCGAAAAGCAGGAGAACCATAGGTACAATAAGAGAACATTGTATCAACGTCCGTGGCCCCAGAATATTCAACATCTTGCCAGAAAATATCAGAAACTCTGCTGGGACAGGTGTAGAAGTCTTGAAAAGGAAACTGGACAAGTGTCTTCACCAGGTACCAGATCACTCAGGCCGTGATGGATGTGTGGGCCAGCAGACCGCCAGTAGAAACAGACTAGTTGACCAGACAAGCACCAAACAAGCCTGAGTCAAGGCCTGACTCTGGGAGTAGAAAGACTCTCGGAATTCATCGAAGGTATATCAAATATATCTCAAATAAACAACAAATTTGCTTCAAAAGTCATCAGATAAAAGCTGAATGTGTTTACAACTGAAGACAGTCACCAACAGCCTACAAAAAAAAAGGCGCATCATTCTTTGCCCTCTCAAAGGATTTTCCCTGGCGTTGTTAGGGCCTCTTGATTTAAGGACCATGATCTTTGTCCTTCCCATCTTTGGATCAAGCGCTGTAGGACCTCTACGGGTTTAGCGCTTTTCCCTAAATATAATAAAATTATTACAGCATTACTTGTGGGCATTTTTCTCGTCAACATCAACAAGCAGAGGGAAGCAAACCGCGTTCCGTGGGCGCCATTTGTCCCTGGTTAATAATATTCTCCTCGGATCAAACCTAAATGCCCTCCCCACCTCCAGCTGGTAAGACCCCCGTTGGTTTTGCGCTTTCCCCTGATTAAAATTAATAATTTAAGGGTTACGGGGTACCCTTTAGTCGTTCCTATTGGTGTGCCTTGGTGTACGTTCCCTTCTTTTGGTGGGGGCCTTGAGACGTTCCTTCATGATGGGGGGCCTTGGTGTACGTTCCCCTTATGTGGTGGTGCCTTGATGTACGTTCCCTTCATGATGGTGGGCCTGGGACGTTCCCTCTGGGTGGGCCTTGATGAAAAATTTCCCTTTTTTTGATGGTGGGCCTTGATGTGTTTTTCCCCTTATATGGTGGGCCCTTTATGTACGTTCCTTCATGATGGGGGGCCTTGTGTACGTTCCCTTCATGAGGGTGGGCCCTTTATGTATTCCCCTTTGTGGTGGTGCCCTTTTGTACTTCCCTTTATGATGGTGGTGCCCTTTTGGGACGTTCCCTTCATGTGGTGGGTTTTGTCGTTCCCCTTTATGATGGTGTGCCTTGGGTCGTTCCCTTCAGAGGTGGGCCCTTTATGCGTTCCCCTTTATGTGGTGGTGCCCTTTTGGTTTCGTTCCCCTTTTGATGGTGGTGCCTTGATGTACGTTCCCCTTCATGATGGTGGTGCCTTTTATGTACTTTCCTTCTGGGTGGTGCCTTGTGTACGTTCCCTTCATGGGTGGTGCCTTGATGTACGTTCCCTTCTGATGGGGGCCTTGATGTACGTTCCCTTTTGATGGTGGGGCCTTGTGTACGTTCCCCTTCATGAGGGGGCCCTTTTGTCGTTTCCCTTTTTGAGGTGGTGCCCTTTATGTGTTCCTTCATGATGGTGGTGCTTGATGTACGTTTCCCTTTTGATGGTGGTGCCTTTATGTACGTTCCCTTCATGATGGTGGTGCCTTGATGTACGTTCCTTCATGATGGTGGGTTGCCTTGATGTACGTTCCCTTCATGATGGTGGTGCCTTGGTGTGTACGTTCCCTTCATGATGGTGGTGCCTTGATGTACGTTCCCTTCATGATGGTGGTGCCTTGATGTACGTTCCCTTCATGATGGTGGTGCCTTGATGTACGTTCCCTTCATGATGGTGGTGCCTTGATGTACGTTCCCTTCATGATGGTGGTGCCTTGGTGTACGTTCCCTTCATGATGGTGGTGCCTTGATGTACGTTCCCTTCATGATGGTGGTGCCTTGGTGTACGTTCCCTTCATGATGGTGGTTGCCTTGAGTGTACGTTCCCTTCATGATGGTGGTGCCTTGGTGTACGTTCCCTTCATGATGGTGGTGCCTTGATGTACGTTCCCTTCATGATGGTGGTGCCTTGGTGTACGTTCCCTTCATGATGGTGGTGCCTTGGTGTACGTTCCCTTCATGATGGTGGTGCCTTGATGTACGTTCCCTTCATGATGGCGGTGCCTTGATGGCTTTTGATCCTTGGATTAGATCTGTTTTTTTTCCACTACGTTAGGTGTCAAAACAAAGTCACCTTGTAAACCACCATGTATTTATGCAGGTGAAGGGCCCCTGATCCAGGGAACTGGGGCTACTCTCAGTTTTCTCGGATCAAACCTGATTCCCCAGGAGTTGACTTTTCCCAAAAAGAAGGAAAATAATAATAAATAATAATAATAATAATAATAATAATAATAATATTATAATAATAATAATAATAATAATAAATAATATAATTATATATAATATATTAATAATAATAAATAATAATAATATTATAATAATAGTTAATAATAATAATAATAATAATAATAATTAATAATAATAATAATAATAATAATAATAATAATAATAATTACTATCAACTACTAATAATAATAAATAATAATAATGTCAATAATAATAATAATAATAATTACTGTTACTAGTACTATTACTGCTTCTACTACTACTACTACTACTACTACTACTAATAATAATAATAATAATAGTAATAATAATAATAATAATACTAATAATAATACTAATAATAGTAATAAATTATAATATTCTGGCAGGTATGGGTATCGCGCAGGTAAGGGATGTCGTGCAGGTACACTCGGGTAATTAAGATAGGTGAGAGATGTCGCGGGTGTGTTGGCATGACACTGAGGCAGGCGAGAGGTGAGTGAGATGACTTCACTGTCCCCTTGTATACTTGTCTAGCGAGAGAGAGCACCTGAAGATTGAAAATGATCGGAGGAGGGAGTTGCCGGGGGTGATGGGGAGGAGGAGGAGTTGAGGGCTGGGGAGGAAAATAGGGTTGGGGGTGGTAGGGGCATAAAAAAGAGATGGAGTGTTGAGGGAGGAGGAGGAGGAGGTTATCGATGAAAGTAATAGATTGTGGTGGTGGGGGAGAAGGAAGTTGATATGACAAGAGATAGCTGGAGCAATTGCCTCTGTGGTATGACGAGATAGTTTATTAGCGAAAATGAGATGCCAGACATTTTGAGCAGGTTTCAGATCTGCTTGAATCAAATGAAATTTAAATTATAAATATATACTCTTGTGTACTCATAAATTAAATCTTGTAGGGCCTAGTTCCCAGGCTCTAAGTGCATCCAATAAATCTTGCGCCGCCGTATACAGGATAGTTATGGAGTGCAAAATAAACTAAATACGTCGGCAGCAAAATCTAGTGTAATCGAGGGCATATCAACTCTCCTTGGCAACATAATTTATACCTGGAAAATACCGGAGACATTTTCCAAATCTGCACAAGTTTCTACTTTGGAGAGCGAGAAGTTTGGTGGAATGTACTAAAAGGCCTCCAAAGACAAACTAACTGTACAGTATGTACACTAAGTAAATATGTGCAAAACGTTTATGGCTTTACAACCTACTCCCTTCAGATATATGGGGAATTATCAGCAGATGGATGCCATTACTGATTTTACATCGTTCAAGGTACTTTAATGGTTGTTTTGTGTCTCTTTTCGCTGTGAGTCGACTCCTGCAACCACAAATAGGAGAGTACACACACACACGCGCGCGCGCGCGCACGTAAACAAGGATACCTAGAGTTTACCTGGAGAGAGTTCCGGGGGTCAACGCCCCCGCGGCCCGGTCTGTGACCAGGCCTCCTGGTGGATCAGCGCCTGATCAACCAGGCTGTTGCTGCTGGCTGCACGCAAACCAACGTACGAGCCACAGCCCGGCTGATCAGGAACTGACTTTAGGTGCTTGTCCAGTGCCAGCTTGAAGACTGCCAGGGGTCTGTTGGTAATCCCCCTTATGTGTGCTGGGAGGCAGTTGAACAGTCTCGGGGCCCCTGACACTTATTGTATGGTCTCTTAACGTGCTAGTGACACCCCTGCTTTTCATTGGGGGGATGGTGCATCGTCTGCCAAGTCTTTTGCTTTCGTAGTGAGTGATTTTCGTGTGCAAGTTCGGTACTAGTCCCT